CACCCCCACTCAGGCCCAAGGCCACGCCCTCTGCAGGTGCTGGTGGTTCCAGCACCCCCCCACCTCCCGCATCCCCAGTCCTGGACGGGTGGGTCATCCCTGCACCAAATGCCCCGCCTTCCGCCTTCGGAGATGTTGCTTCTGCTGCGGCCACTGCCCCTTCTCTGCTCCCACCGCCGCTGCTGACCCCTGGAGTGCTGGCCCGGGTGGCTCAGTGGTGAGCGTCCACCTAGGAACCAGGTCACCGTTGGATTCCGTTCAGGACACAGGCCCGCGTAGCAGGCTCCATCCCCAGTAGGGGACGTGCAGGAGGGCCCGATCTATGATTCTCTCTCATCATGGATGTTTCTCTCTCCCTCTCCTTTCCTCTCTCTTTGAAGTCAATACAAATATATATATTTTAGAGACAGCTGTTTGCCCCACCAGTCCACCCCACCTGCTCCTACGAGGACACCAGTGGCTCCTCATCCCCAAAACCACGGCCGCCTCTCCGTCGGCCTCCTTGAGGAGGAGCTGCAGGTGAGGCGTCTCCTCACCCTCCTCCTCGTCCGTCCCTCCTCACGCGGCTCCACATCCCACTCTCTCCCCGCCCTGCGAACCAGGTGAGTGCCACGGGGACCCAGGCCACAAGCAGGGTGCGTGGGAAGGTCACAGAGGAATGGCCGCCCCTGGACCAGAGGACCCGTTTGGAAAGAACAGTAGCCCTGGCCGGTGTGGCTCTGCAGACAGAGCGCTGGACAAAGGGTCCCGGTTCCTCGGTTGCGGGCTCCTCCCCGCCCGGGCCCTGGTCAGGGTGCGTGCAGGAGGCAACCGATCGATGTTTCTCTCACATGGTGTTTCTGTGTTTCCCTCTCTCTTCCACTCTCTCTAAAACCAGTGGGGAGCTATCCTCGGGGGAGGATTTAAAGAAAGAATCGTAAATCAGGCCCTCGGGGAGCAGACTCCACGCACTGTGAAGTCCTGGCGAGTCCCCGCCCCCCACACCTGCAGGAAAACCAGTGACCGTGTGAAAGTCAGCTTGGAAGAGAGGGAAGCAATGCACCTTAAGGGAACAATTTAAAAATTCCTGGGACAATTTGGACCCTTCAAATTCTAAAGGAACATTCTACAAACGTATTGTCATGTCGTGGTGTTTGCTCACAAGTCTCCGGCAGCGCTTCCCAGCCTCGCCCTCCCTCCCTCCTGGGCCCTCGGACCTCGCCGTCTCCACGTCATTTCCAGGCCACTGTAGTTTCCCAGGCTTGATTTTATCACGTGTTGCACTTTTTTTTTTTAATGTATTTTTATCAGAGGCCCAGTGCACGAATTCATGCACAGGTGGGGTCCCTCGGCCTGGCCAGCGATCTGGGTCGATGGGGGCCCGTCTCGCCCAGTCCCAATTGGGGCCAATGGGGGTGGGAGGTTGGCTATGGGAGCACACTGACCACCAGGGGGCACCTCCTGCATTGAGCCCCCTGGTGGTCAGTGTGCGTCATTGTGACCGGTTGTTCGGGCATAACAGTAACTTAGGCTTTTATATATATAGATTGCTTTCAGAGAGGAAGGGAGAAGGAGAGATAGAAACATCAATGATGGAATCATGGATCAGCTGCCTCCTGCACACCCACACTGGGGATCGAGCCCGCAACCCAGGCATGTGCCCTGACCAGGAATCGAACCGTGATCTCCTGGTTCATAGGTTGACACTCAACCATCGAATCACACTGGCCAGGAACGTGTTGCACTTTGCATCTCTGCAAATTCTGGTCGGGTCTTCATCATCTTAGGTTTCCTGTGTGCTGCGCACTGTAATCTGAAGGTGCAGATTTCGACCCGGACACCAGGCAACAAGAACGGTCTCCACAGTCAGTTCCAGGGCAAGACTCAGGCACCATGAGGCTGTTTTAATTCTGTCCTTGGGCTGGCAGCCTTGGCTTACATAACGTCACATGTCGGAGCCTACAGTCTCTCAGGGAGGTTGTGATCACACTGGCTATTACTGCTCCTCAAATATTAACACATTGTATGCAGGAAACGTATTTATACGTTTTACGTTGACTGGTAGCGTTGACTGGTAGTAGAGCGCGGGACACGTATGAATACGTTTTTTATAGACTAGCGGTAGAATGTGGGTAACGTATAAATACGTAAACTAAAGTTATCGTAATCTTACTGAACGTTGCCATTTACGCAAAAAATTAGCAAAAATGGCCCGCGCCACCTGTTAGCGCGTGATAAAAACTACCTGCAAACAATGTGTTAAATTTAATATATGTACAGAAATCTATCCCTTTGAAATACAAACACTGTTCTGGAAAACGAAAGCAGACTGAATGAAAATTCAGCTCGTTTAGTAATCTGGAGAAAATGCATGTAAACAAAGGGTCGATTGCAGGACTTCTGCTGAGGTGGTAATACCAGGATGGAACCAGCGCCCAGCTTTGGTATAAAACAGGTAGGATTTTAAACATCATGAGACTTGGGGCAAGTGACTCCGTTTATTTCCAAGGCTGTGGAACGGGCAGTGGGGGGCCCACAGGAGGGCAGCACTGGGGACCCTCGTGCTGACGGATGCCTGGGATCCTGACCGGATCCGTGTCAATGTGCTGGTTCTATTTTACTCGTTTCTCAGTGTTATCCTTGGGAAAACGGACTACAGGGCAAACACGAGCTCTGAGGTTTCCTCATAACTATTGAATTGAGTACAATTATCTCAAAAAAGAACTTAAAGAAGTCATTTGCATATCTTCTCCAATCTTCTATGAGCAAAATAAAGTGAAAGACTCCACAATTGCTTTTTTTAAATTTTTATTTCTTTAAAAATATTTTTGTTGATTTCAGAGAGGGAGAGGGAAAGATAGAAACATCAATGATGAGATCATTGGTAGGCTGCCTCCTGCACACACTCCCCCCACTCAACCCCTGCCAGGATCGACCCGGAACCTGGGCATGTGCCCTGGCTGGGAATCGAACCCTGACCTCCTGGCTCATAGGTTGATGCATGGCCCAATTGCTTTAAATTTAGCGATGACACAACCAGAAGGTGGCACCATTACCACATGACTAAGGGCATCATTCATTTTAAACATCTATGATAATAGAAGGGTAATATGCTAATTAGACTGGACGTCTTCCGGACATCCTTCCTGATGAAGTCGGGGCCAGAGGGAAGCCAGCCCGGGTCTTGGGTGCCTGCCGAAGGGAAGCCGGTGCCGGCAGCTGGGGGAAGGAAGGCCTACTCTTGCACAAATTTTCGTGCATCGGGCTTCTAGTCCTATCTAATAAAAGACAAAAAGGGTAATTGACCGTACCTTCACTATGCTTCCCATTGGCTAATCAGGGCGATATGCAAATTAACTACCAAGAAAGATGGCGGTTAATCGCCAAGAAAGATGGCGGTTAATTGCATACGTAGGCGCCAAGCAATGGAGCGAAGCCGGCTGGCCCCGGGCAGGAGCAGCGAACGAAGGCCAGCGTGGCGAGAGAAGAGCAAAGAGGGAAGCCCGCCGCGTCGGCCTCCGCCACGCCCCCCGGGCCCGCGTGCAGCCAGCAGCAAGGAGCTAAGCCCCTCGCCCGCCACACCGGCCCCTCCCGGCGAAGAGCGAAGGCCTGGGTTCCGGGCGCCAGAGGAAAACTGGTGCCAGCAGCCAGGGGAAGGGGCCCCTGAGGGGCCCCAGACTGCGAGAGGGCACAGGCCGGACTGAGAGACCCACCCGAGTGCAGATTTTTGTGCACCGGGCCTCTAGTCCTATATAATAAAAGGCTAATATGCAAATCGACAAGAACAACTGGTTGCTATGACGTGCACCGACCACCAGGGGGCAGACACTCAATGCAGGAGCTGCCCCCCGGTGGTCAGTGTGCTCTGTGGGAGCGCCGCTCGGCCAGAAGCCAGACTCAAGGCTAGTGAACGGAGCAGCAGTGGCGGGGCCTCTCCCGCCTCCGCAGCAGCACGAAGGATGTCCGACTGCTGGCTTAGGCCCGCTCCCCGTGGGCCTAAGCCCACTGTCAGACACCCCCCGAGGGCTCCTGGACTGCGAGAGGGCGTAGGCCGGGCTGAGGGACACCCCCCACTCCCCCCCCACCCGAGTGCACATTTGTACACCAGGCCTCTAGTGTCATAATAATGGAACACTATGATTTTATCAATGAAAATTCAATGCTAACCCCAACTCAGCCATATTTTCAATCCACATCCTGTGTGAAGCTTGGAAGAAATGCAATTTTCAAAAATCATTTGCAAACAACACCAATGCCTCTGGGTCTGCGCAGCACAGGCTGTAACTAGAACACAGACCCTCTGAGTGTGCTTTTCACAGGGCCTGTGTGGGCTGGCAAACCTGCCCAAGACCAGGAAGACTCCCGGCCACCCTGGGACCCGGCCGGCAGCACCGCCCTCTGTACAGGCACTTCCTGCCTGGCGGCTGGCCCAGGCTCTGACCAAGGTCCCTGGGAAAATTCCCAACAGCAGCTGCAGTGAGAGAGGCTGAGGGAGGGACTCTTCTTTTGTAAAAGCAGCAAAGTCCAGAACGTTCTCATTTTTTTAAAATCCTACACACTTCCTAGGCAGGGAGAGGAGGCTGCACCAGATCATGGAGACGCCCACAGGTGCCGGTGGGAGATGCCGCCACACAGCAAACCCTGTCCGTCGCTGACCGGGTGTCCGTCCCGCCTGGCGCCGGGCGGGGCCCCGACGAGCCGTCCACAGCCCCTGGGCATCCGAGCCCGCTGCATCAGCCCTCCCGTCACGTCCAGCCTCCCCACCCAGCCTGCACAGCAAGCCCCCGGCTGCCACCCCAGCTCTGAAGCCAACGTGTAACCTTCTTAGGAGAACACGTTTTACTTAACAAAACAAGTGGGCTTTTCCCCACACAGACGTGTTTTTCATGTGCAATGTCTTTGGAGGGTCGCCAAGCAGCCTGCCCTGAAGTCCATACATTCGTCAGTTACCCACACCCACTCGTGCAGCTCTGTTCACTGTTGACAGAACACAACCAGACCACGTGAGAAGCGAGTTGGGATTAGTTCTGAGCGGTTTATTCTCGTTGTTACAGTGTCCCACCACAGGATTATAAAGACGCGTGTACAGGTAAATGCTGGGAGGCACACGCGTGTCCCCATTCTGAAAGAAGGCATGTTACATGTACAGAAAAATGCTGCAAACAGTAAGGTGTTCAAAGGAATTTCTGACTGTTCAGATGTGACATGTTTACAAAGAAAGCATGTTTTAAAATAATTAAATAATTTTCATATTATTATAAAAGTATTGAGATAAATATCAGAAGACCCCAAAATCACAAGAATGTTTTCCTATGCTATTGAGTCAAAGGGTAGTTCCATTAAAAGTCCCAAAATAGAGAGTATTTTGTCACCGTGGAAAACATCAAATTACCAAAATATGTGAAATAAACATGCGATGCAGAAGCGGTACCAAGACCCGTCCGAGGCTCCCAGCCCCGCCGTCCCCGCGAGCCCCCGGGCATCCCCGCGAGCCCCCGGGCTGCTTGGGACCTCGGAGGAGCCGGCACAATGAATAAGAAGTGAGAGAGACTCCCCACCTCTCCTCCCATCACTTCCAGATGAAGCTGCGGAGAAGGAAAACCCTAAACAAACACTGAAGACGTTAGCTTATGAGTAAGAAGCTGGCGGTGCGCTCCTCACGCGCCGGGCGCTAAGGCGACGCTGAGCAGTAGTGTCGGGGACAGTGACCTCTTTCTCAGACAAGAACTCATCTTAGAAAATGAGGACAGGTATGAATTCAAAACAAAACAGTACTGTGAAATGGTGAAACATCACAAAATAGCAGCATGTGAATTCAAGAGTCTTTTCTGAAAGCAAATGTTTAAGACTGAACTGCAGAACGGCACTTGCTCCGACTGGTCTGTTATCAGCACCTCGGACGCAGGGCTTTTTAGAGGTGCTGATACTCATGTTTTCATTTATGACTCCCCAAGACAATGTGGACTCTCATTTGTGTTTTGAAGCATAAATATTGCACAGGCAGTTACACATCAGCATCCGGTATCTCTAACATAAAATGACACCTTACTCAACACGACGTGTAAAACCAATCAGGCAGGACTGAGCAGTGACGGGATGGCGCGCAGGCACTTGAATCGAGGCTGAGTGACAGGCAACCACAGAGCGAGGGAGGTGTCTCTGCATATGAACCTGGGTCTCTGACGGACCCCACACACAAGTAAGAACTTTGTACAAACTTTCATGGGAAAACCGGATCTCCAGAAACTTCACACCAAATAATGTCCACTGATACAGCAATGACGACTGCCGCCTTATTTAACCTTTTTTTAACAAATGTCCAATAGACAGGTTTTAAAATCTACTTTGCCCCTTTCTCCACCCAGTACAGCCCACAGCCCAGGAACACCCTCTGCGAATCACGCTCACTGTGAGACCCAGGGCACCAAGCCTGTCCTGTCAGACCCCCCACATCCTGGGACGGATCACAGCACCAGACATCGGGGCTCAGGTATCTGTCTGGCAATTTCCATTCAATAATATTAACCAGTAACAATGTGTCAATATTCATCGTCTAAGAGGAAGTCATAGTAGCAATTTTTTTAAACGACCAAAATAACTGATAAGCATTTTTAATGTTTTAAATGGATAAACACGTAACGATCAAGCTCATTAGGCGGAACATCACACACACGTTTTCCTCACCCACTGAGACCGCACGGCACATGGGAGCACCGAGACAAGGCTCCGCTTCTGTCCTTCCTTTAAAAAGGCGCCACTGCGCTCGCCACGCCCAGGCCCCTGGTTTACCAGCTGAGGAGGAGCACATCCGAGGCCGTGGGACAGGCTGTGGAGACCTGTCGCCCTGTCATCTTTGGCTGAAGCCTCAGGAGAGGGAGGGGCTGGCATGGCGGCCGCCGAGCATTCAGCTTACACGTCACTGACAGGCAGGCTCGCGTCGTCCAAGTCCAAGTCCACGGGGCCGTGCTGCCCCTCCGGAGGGCCGTTCCTGCCGGGAGGGGTGGGCGGGGCGCGTCCGCTCACTTGGGAAGCTGGTGCTCTTGGAGGGACAGTCTGGACCTTGAGGCTCCCTGGCTTGACCTTGGTAAGAGATTCACAAAATCCTCGCTTCTCCAGGGTAAAGCTTGAGACCAAAGAGCTGCTGCGAGCGGCGGTGGGATGCGCGGTGGAGGTGCGGGGCGCGGGCTGGGGCTCGGGGCCGCCGGGCTGCTCCTGGAAGGGAGTGGGGGTCAGACACGGTCAGTCAGACACGGTCAGTCACACACGACACGGTCAGTAGCTCATGTGGGGCTTTATCTTCTGAGAAACAAGCAGAACACACACACACACACACACACACACACACACACACACACACAGCAGAAGCGTGAGCCATGCAGCAAGCGTGTGCACGTTCTCCACAGCCAGGCGTGTGCAGGAGCGTGTGAAGCAGTGGCGGCCGCCCTCACTAAGGAGCCAGCCTGTCCCGCGAGGTGCTGGGAGCCGACCCCGAAGACGCAGCGAGCCTGCGAGGGGCATGGGTCCAGGCGCCCGCTCAGCTGCGCTCACGGCAGCCGGCTTTGCTGTTTCGTTTCGTTTGCGGTCAGTCAGCACCAGGAGGTCGGCCACACGTTCTACGTGCCCAGCGCGCCTGAATGCCACTGCCCCATGAGCAGGCTCGTTGCTTTCTCTGTAACTGCATGTTTGGTTTTGAATGTCATGCATTCATCTGGCTTAAGATCGTCAGGGAACATGGGTACAGACTGAGCCTCTGGGACAGCTGTGAAGTGGCTCAGGGGTGACGGCTGATTTCAATTCGCGTCTAACGGTCTCAGACCTGCAGGTGCCTCGCCCGCAGCTCCTAGCGCTGCGCGCACCATGACACCAGTGGCTCCGGGAACACAGGGCGGCCAATTCCCCACGTGACCGATGCCCACGGGAGGCGGACGGTCGCCTGAGACTCAGTGCCATGCCAACTCCAGCAGAGTCCGTCCGACACCCGGGCCTGCACGACTGCACACGTGAGAACGAGGATGCGCGTCGAGTGGTGTCATATAAAAAGGTCAAAGCAGAAAACATGGAAACTGAAACTGGCACATCAGCCAGTGGGTTTTAGGCAACAGCCGCTACGGCCTCCAGTCAGTCAGTCGTTTCTCGCTGTTACTTTTCCTGCGACTCCGACCTGAGGGCTGTTAGTGTCAACAGGTTACGGCAACTGCGGGAGGCAGTTTGTTAGCTCGACTTTCTAGGACGGACGGGTGAGTAGGGAGTGAGAAGGCACGTGCGTGCGCGCCCACATACGTGCCGCATCCCCCCGTCCTGGGTGTGTACCTCTGAATACAAGGGTTCGACAGCCGCCTGGCCTGCCGCATCTGGAACACAGTGCAAAGCTAGGGTTAGAGTCGACCTACCCAGAGAGGAGCTGAGTCAGCGGACAGTCCGCGGCCCGCCACCAGCACAGACACGCCCTCCCGCTCTCCTCTCCCCACAGGCAGCACGCTCGCAGAGCTCCGTGACCCTGGGAGGTCACAGGGACAGGCGGTGACCAAGCAACATCGGGAAAGGGACTCTGATCGTCCGGAAAGGACGGGGAGAAGGCGTGACTAAGAAGCGAGAAAGGTGGATCTGTATGGACTGGTCTGTGGTTACTAAAAGCAGGAAACCAGTAAAAGGCAACGTTACAGCCTGGCCGGCGTGGCTCAGTGGCTGAGCTACTGACCAGGTTCGATTCCTCGTCAGGGCATATGCCCAGGTTGCGGGCTCGATCCCCAGTGGGGGATTTGCAGGAGGCAGCCGATCCATGATTCTCTCTCATCACTGATGTTTCTATCTCTCTCTCCCTCTCCCTTCCTCCCTGAAATCAATTTTATATATATATATATATATATGTATATATATATATATATATATATACACACACACACACACACACACACATATTTTAAAAAGGGCGTTACCACCAGGGAAATGCTGAAAGTGCCAAAAACCTAGCCTCACGCTGGGTCTAGATAACAGGCGATCATGTTACTTATCGGCCTACGTTCTGCAGTCCTGAATGACAGCTTGCTATGTCTGCACTCCTCAGCACAACTGGTATTTTCACATCAGACACCAGCGACCAAGGTGCTCTAAAGGTAAATCTTATTCCTGTGCTGTGCCTGAACGTGGTGAATTAAATTTAACAACATTTTTTCTTACTATTTCTCAGCATGTTCAGCTGCTTTAATTTTCCCATGGTACCACCAAAAGGTAATTAAGATTGTAAACAAAAGCAGCCTTTCACATTCGTGGGCAGAAACCCTGACGGCCCGTGAGCTGAAACCCTGCCTGCGAGCCATCAGCGCATGAGGCTGCCGCCGCGCGATGGTCTCGGCACAGGTGAGCCCACAGACCCTAACCGACCTCTCAAGAAGCTGAACACAGTGGCTGAAGGGCCTTCCGTGGCCAGGCCCCACCTGCACTAAGACCTGGCCGGTTGTACCAAACCCAGACCGACCAGCGAGGACCTCACACAAGGCAGGGAGCGCTCCTTCTCGTCCCTGCCGCGCCTGTGAGACCGACAGCACAGGGAGCTCCGCATCCGTACACTACGGGAAGCACGACCTTAGAAACGCACGACTTCTCCGCAGGTCCTCCTGGTGTGAAGACACCATGCAGATACATCTCATACGGGAAGAAACCAGAGGGTTCGGGGAGAGGAAGCCTGACAGGATGGGAACCGAGGGGCAGCACGGCGCACAGGACACGTACAGAAGACGCCGACCGGCCAGGCCCGCGCTGCGCCACGATGGCCCCGGACACGGCTTTGATCCAGCTGTGCATCTCTTCGGGGCTGTCGGCCTGAGGGAGAAAGGGCGCATTCAGTCCACTTCCCACACCGGCTCCTGCATCTGAGACCCGACCTACGCTCTCGGGAGTAAACAGCTGCAACAACAAATCGTTCCGAGGCAACGACTTCAAACTCCTTAGAAATCATTTTACACCAGGCACTGCTGGGGGAGCGGTGTTCTGGGGTGACTCAGAGCAGGGCTCAGAGCAGGGCCGCGACCCGAAGAGCAGTGCTGGCCGCCACAGCCCAGGGCATCGTCCTTGATGGGACCGTGGCTTCCAGCGTGGATGGCAGACCTCCTGTGACTCACCCAACTACACTGGCCCCAGGAGGGGCACGGAGATACTGTCCTTCACTTCTAGAGTCTGCAATCTACAAGGTCAACAATTTTAAAGAATCAAGATAGTATTTTTGAACCAAGCCTATTAAATACTTTTTAAAAGAAAAACTTCAAAATAGGCAAAAGTAAATCATACACCTTCATTCACTGCAAACAGGAGGACATGTAGAGAAATCCATTCGGCAAAATAAAGAGGTTTAAAGAGGTCCGTGCCCTGAAGAGTTACTCTAGAGCTAGAAACTCATCCTGAAGAAATGTGTTTGTTCAATCCTCCCCTGAGGACGTGTGTATTGATTTTTAGAGAAACATCCATGTGATAAGCCTCCATCAGTTGCCTCCCATACCCGCCCCGAGCAGGGATCGAACCCACAGCCCTTTTGGGGTATGGACGACGCTCTAACTGAGCCATCCGGCCAGGACGCACGATACTCCTCTTGTTATACAAATATGTGCCTTAAGAAAGGCAGTGGGGGAAAAAAGAATGCTTGCCTGGTTGTGGGATTCTGTGTTTTATAAATCACCCTTTTCTTCCTATTTTTCTATAATTTCTAAGTTTTCTGCAATAAGCCTATGTAAGTTTTATAAAACAAAAACAAATTTTGTTTTTTAAAAACTCCAATCTGATTAATACAATGAGTAAAAAGTATGTTTCAAACTTAAATGCAGACGCCGTCAGTGAAACCTAAGCTCTACTGCCTGCTGTTATCATGTACCAACGTGACAAAATTACCAGACACGATGGAACCGAAATTCCAAAATATGTGCAAAATAATCCAAGGTCAAAGTACACACGTAGCTTCTAAGTAAAGTAGATTTCCCTTCCTCCAAATACTACTTAATTCTATTCAACTAACTCACAGCAAGGAGCACCCTCGTTTGCTGAACATATGACCTACCAATAATTTCACATGTAACACTTGGTGAACTGTGGTTGTCAGGTTGATGGGGGACAAAAGGGGACGTATGTCACACTTTCAACAATAATGATTAAAAAAAATAACTGCAGTTGTCATTATGTTTTGCTTATTCTCATAACCTGCAAGTCCCTCTAAAATTATTGATTCCCACGAAGAGGATCTATAACCTTCAAATAAGTATCTTACCTGCACATAGAAAGTCCGAGATGACGTTACAATTTCAAAGAGGTTGTCCCTCATCATTATGTCACTGTTAACACAAAAAATTTCCAAGTTTTAAACAGCAGTTGTTTGATAGGTTTTTTCATTTAGTTACCCAATAGCAAATATCTATCTATAACAATGAAAGAGTAATATGCTGAATGACCTTCTGGACATCATTCCGGACGAAGCTGTGACGGCAGGGGCAGGCAGTTAGGGGCGATCAGGCAGGCGGAGGGATTAGGGGAGATGAGGCAGGCAGGCAGAAGGATTAGGGGAGATGAGGCAGGCAGGCAAGTGGTTTGGGGCAATCAGGCAGGCAGGTGAGCGGTTAGGGGCGATCAGGCAGGCAGGTGAGCGGTTGGGGGCGATCAGGCAGGCAGGTGAGCGGTTGGGGGCGATCAGGCAGGCAGGTGAGCGGTTGGGGGCGATCAGGCAGGCAGGTGAGCGGTTGGGGGCGATCAGGCAGGCAGGAGAGCGGTTGGGGGCGATCAGGCAGGCAGGTGAGCGGTTGGGGGCGATATGGCAGGCAGGTGAGTGGTTGGGGGCGATATGGCAGGCAGGTGAGTGGTTGGGGGCGATCAGGCAGGCAGGCAGGCAGGCGAGCCATTAGGAGCTAGCGGTCCCAGATTGCAAGATGGATGTCCGACTGCCAGTTTAGGTCCAATCCCACAGAGAGCAGTCGGACATCCCCCGAGGAGTCCCGGATTGCAAGAAGGTGCAGGCCAAATTTCATGCACTGGGCCTCTAGTGTATCAACAAGAAAAGTATGAGGTAAAGTACTGATTTAACAAAACCAAGCTATCCATTTTTTCAACTTCTTGAAAAAAATAAAGTTTATATAGTTATATGCATATTTTATTGTGTATTTATTTTTATTGATTTCAGAGAGGAAGAGAAAGGGAGAGAAAGATAGAAACATCAATGATGAGAGAGAATCATCGACTGGCTGCCTCCTACACACCCCCACTGGGGATGGAGCCCACATCCTGATTAGAATCAAACCCGGAACCCTTCAGTTCACAGGCTGAAACTCCATCCAGTAAGTCAACCAGCCAGGGAATTATCTGTGTGTTTTAGATAAGGTACAGAACACTACTTAAAAATTCAAAGTTTGTAACATGTAGAAATCAGTTTGCACTGCACAATTACATTGCCTCACACAGCTATTCTGCATCACCCTTGAAATACTAACATGCTAATCACCAATGTGCCAAATATGACAGAAGTTGTTCACATTAAAGTTTTTCCTTTTCATTAATAAGCTTAAGGATTGTTTCCTAATTTTTAGTTTTCAAACAAAAAAACCCTCAATACTTTAATCCGAGGGTTTTGAAAGGTCTAGCATATCCCAACTGTAAGTTGAAAATGACACAAATACAGAAAAATGCCATCTTGCAAGCACAGCCCTCCGCCTGCAGCCCTGCTGTGCGCAGCGACAGCCAGCACCGCAGCGCACTCACCTCTGCTTGCACTCCTGGACTCTGTGCACCTCCTTCAGGGGGATCACACGAAGAGGCTCCTTCTCCTGGCGGGAAAGAGCAGACAGACAGACACACACCTGACGTCTCCTCCTAAAAGCCTCCTCAGGGCCGTCTGACCTGGGGGCCTGCGCCAAACGATGCTTCTGGAATCAGCAGCATCAGAATAGCCCCGTCCTCCCCGTCAGTACCAGGTAGTGAGTGTGCGAGGACGGACTCTCTCATATGGACGCATTATTTTAACAAGCCAATGCATCGAACTAGGTGCCAGGGCACGCGCTAGATGTTAAAGGTCAGCGCCCTGGAATTTCCCACCACACTACCCACAGGCGCGAGTGCTCACCTGAGGGACCTGAGGGTCAGATATGTAAGTGCCCGACCCAAGGGGACAACACCAGACCGAAGCCACAGACACCGGCCATCACGGCCCCAACAGTGTCACCCCCACCCTACGCTCCATCAAGACGAGGACTGCAGGTCGCTGACTAGGACAGCATGACCCGACCTCCTGCTATTTTATGAGCACCGAGGGAAAACGCAACCGACAGCCGAACAGTTTTAAAATCACCAATCTTTAAGGTTTTCCAAACAGTTCATTTTAAAATAACTTCAGATTATAACCGCTTCTGTATACCCTGCACCCTGTAGAGACGTGGTTCCCCTCAAAGATCCCAGCAAACAGGAAGAGGGGGGCCAGGGGCGTGAAGCACAGAACTGCACTCAGTGTCCCATCAGGCTATTGCAGAACGTGGGTCACATGCCAAGAATCCTGTCTAATAAAGAGCTCGTGTGCCAATCAGACCGAACAGCAGAAGGACCATCTGGATGAAGCCAGGGCTGCGAGGGCCGGGCCACTCGCACGAACTCTGTGCATGGGGCCTCTAGTGCAGCGGTTCTCAGCCTGTGGGTCGCGAACAATGAAAATACATCCTGCATATCAGATATTTACATGACGATTCATAACAGTAGCAACATTAATGAAGTAGCAACAAAAATAACGTTATGGTTGGGGGTCACCACAGCATGAGGCACTGTATTAGAGGACCGCGGTATTAGGAAGGTTGAGAACCACTGCTCTAGTGTTTTAAATAAGGATGCCACTCAAACTGAGGAAAGAGGGCATTCTAATCTTTGATTCCACCTTCAGACAGAACAAAACCATCTCGTAAGAAGAAACTAAGTGATCTGCTCCCAAAAGCAAACATGGAGAGAGGGCAGGGCAGACGGCAGGACCAGAGGCTGACGCTGACGCTGAGATGCAATCCCTTCCGCCGCCTCCCACCTCCCGCCTCCAGGCCCTTCGGGAAACCTGCAGACGGAGGGGTCTGGTGTCTCCAACTCCTTGGAGGTGAAATGTCTCTGAAGACGCAACCTTTTCCTTAAGATCCACCCAGAAGCACGACCACCAGGGGCTCAGTATCTCACACGGAGGGAACAGGACTGGGAAGCACAGACACTGCACGTAGGAACCACCACAGGGCACGATCCGCCAACACTTAAACGCACGTGCAGGACAAAGCGGCATACCAGCTCGGACTTGAAGTAGCCGATCGTGTTCTCGTCCAGTTGGAAATACCGCCTCTTCCAGTTCTTCATCTAGAGAGGAGCACAGACGTGAGACTCTGCCTCCAGGACGCGGACGCTCATCGCCCCCGACTGCTGAGGCGAACCCCCACGGGCCCTCCCTGGGGGAGACGCAGCTTCACTGCTGTCGCCGTCAGGCCTTGAACTCCTAACTCCAGCCCGGTGCTGGCCTTTAGCTTTATCACATGATTGTCTAATGCAGCTTCGTAATGTCAATGCTCTAAAAGTTAAAAAAAAAAAGGCACTTCCCCATCCTCCCATCCCCCCGCCCCCACAAAACAAATGCTCCCAGGAGGTCAAGAGCAAGAACAGGAAACAGTATGAAACCACACCAGGCGTCTCTCCGTGGGCATTTACACTCACGAGCAGACAATCAACACCAATAAAGGGAACCTTTGTACATGTTTTTGCCAATGACGTAGTTTTGGGAACGCACTTCGGCATTTCTATGAGTTGGCATTTGGGACTTCAGAGTAAAACAAAAAAGGAGCATCTGCCGACAGCCCTCCACACCAGCGAGCACAGCCTGAGGGCTCTGACCTCCCTGCAGACGGTGCAGGTGAGGCTGGCCGCACCTCGGCTCCCTGAACCTCAGCCTCCCTGAACCGAGCGGTCAGACAGTGGGGACCGGACACCCCGCTGAGCTGTGGGGACGGGACACCCCGCTGAGCTGTGGGGACCGGACACCCCGCTGAGCTGTGGGGACCGGACACCCCGCTGAGCTGTGGGGACGGGACACCCCGCTGAGCTGTGGGGACCGGACACCCCGCTGAGCTGTGGGGACCGGACACCCCGCTGAGCTGTGGGGACGGGACACCCCGCTGAGCTGTGGGGACCGGACACCCCGCTGAGCTGTGGGGACGGGACACCCCGCTGAGCTGTGGGGACCGGACACCCCGCTGAGCTGTGGGGACCGGACACCCCGCTGAGCTGTGGGGACGGGACACCCCGCTGAGCTGTGGGGACGGGACACCCAGCTGAGCTGCGCTGCAGTGAGGAGACCTCGAGGAGCCTGTGGGAGTGTCAGTGTTTCTTCACTCAGAGAATTCGTCTTTTTTGTTTGAAAACGTTCTTTTCTTACGAAATTCTAAAGATTTAGCTCGCACGGACAGAACGGCCCCCCTATAGCAAGGTGCTGCGAAGGCGAGAAACAGGGGCGCGTGGCTCTCCACGAGGCTTCTGCTGGGAGCCGGCTGGGCTGACCCACACCTTGCACACCTCGGAGGTGGGCTTAGGATGTGGTTTTCCTTCCCAGGAAACCAAGAGGCTGAGAGGTTAAGGGCCAAGGCCACAGAGTGTCCAGCTGAGGCCAGCCCAGCATCAAGCGGGTGCTGAGGGGCTCCCACACCCACACCCCACATGACCCTCTCCCCGGGGGGTCAACAGAACACTTCCCGGAATAAAGGCAACTGCTTGGAAGTTCACCTGGAAGCAACGGCCGGTCCGTGGACTAAGCATCATTGCCCAGCTGCTCACGGAGCACGACCGTAAGAGCCTGAGTGAAGAGGCCCTAGAACAGCCCCCCTCACCCCTCAGCCCCCACTCCTCAGCTGCGCTCTCGCTTCGGGTCCTGGTGCAAAACAAAGACTTGTAGCCAAGGCCGCTCACACCCACATCCCACTGTGGGCGCGTTTGCCCCGGACTCACCACGGCTCCCTGTTTGACACAATACCCGGCTTTGATGACGGCGCTGTCGGAGGGCGGTTTCGGGGGGAAGTAGGGGAGATGGCTGGGTGACCTTTTCAGGTGGTTTCTGTCAGTGCTCTCGCCACAGTCGTTGGCTTCTTCTTTCTGAAGTGAAGCAGAACAGAAAGTCCTTTCCTGGCGCTCAGCTCCCAGCACAGGACGCAGCGCGGACACTCCAGAAGCCACGCGCCGGGCGCTGGGAGCACCCGGGACCACCGTCAGCACATGCCTCCCCGCGTGCGCTGGGCCGAAGCTCACACAGAACAGACGGGGGTGAACTGTGATGGGAAACACGCTAAACTCTACAAAAGGGGGAAAGCAGACTTGCAGGCCGTGTTGTCGTCCTAGCAGAACCTCCAGCTCCATCTCAGCTGCACGAGGACACAGATTTGGAGTGAAGTGTTGGAGCTGATTTACGGTCCTAGACCAGGGGTGGGCAAACTTTTTGACTCGAGGGCCACAATGGGTTCTTAAACTGGACCGGAGGGCCGGAACAAAAGCATGGATGGAGTGTTTGTGTGAACTAATATAAATTCACAGTAAACATCATTACATAAAAGGGTACGGTCTTTTTTTTTTTAGTTTTATTCATTTCAAACGGGCTGGATCCGGAACCGCGGGCCGTAGTTTGCCCACGGCTGTCCTAGACCGTAACTGTCCGTCACGGACCGGCCACGCCTGTCTGCTGATCTCAGTCTGCAGCAGGCCTGCTGCCAGTGCGTCCGTGTGAGGCAGGGGCAGTGGGGGTTAACTTGTTACTTTGAAATAAGTGTATAGTCACAGGAAGTTACCAGGGCACCGGTTAATAATGCGGTTTTTTTCCACTAGATGGAGTTACACGTATGTTGATATATATGCGATCTGATATGTATGCTATTTTGTTGTGCTGACAGCAAGCTTCAAAACTTCGTATGTCAAATTTTCTGAAGGTGTTAACATCATATTTTTAGGTTTAAAAATGTTGAATTTCATGCCAAAAAAAGAGCATTTGCGGGAAGTTTTAATTCATTACTTTATTTTGCAGAAAAGTGCTGCTGAAAATTATCATATACTTCGGAAAGCTTATGGTGAACATGCTCCATCTCAAGATCCTTGTGAACGCTGGTTTAAACACTTTAAAAGTGATGATTTCCATGTGAAAGACAAAGAACGTCCAGGTCAATTTGAAGCAAGCTTTGATAGTAAAACGACCAGAATGTGCCAGAAGACATGGCAAAGTAATTTTGCTTCATGATGACACACCACCAGACACTTCAAAACCAGTTAAAGACGTGTTAAATTAAAAGATCCTGCCTGGGAAGTATTAACCCACCACCCATATTCACCAGACCTTGCTCCTTCAGATGGCCACTTGTTCCGATCGATGGCACACGCACTTTCTGAGCAGCACTTCAACACGTGTGAAGACGTGGAAAATTGGGTCTCTAAATGGTTTGCCTCAAAACAAGGAAAGTTCTATTGGGACGGTATTCACAAATTACCTGAAAGATGGGGAAATGCGTAGCTAGCGATGGACATTAGTTTGAACAAAGCACTTTTGATGTTTCTCTTGAAATTATCGTGTCTTCTTTTATTACAAAATCCGCATTATTAACTGGTGCGCCTGGTCCTTTAAAAATGTACAGGAGGGCCCCCACCGGTGTGGCTCAGCGGCTGAGCATCGACCCGTGCACCAAGAGGTCACCAGTTCGATTCCCGGTCAGGGGACTTGCCCAGTTGCAGGCTTGATTCCCAGTAGGGGGCGTGCAGGAGGCAGCCGATCAATGTTCTGGCTCATTGATGTTTCCAGCTCTCTCTCCCTCTCCCTTCCTTTCTAAAAGCAATCTATAATAATAAAAGGATAATATGCTAATTGCGCCAGACATCCTTCCGGACGACCTTCCAGACGAAGCTGGGGCTGCAAGGGGAAGCCTGGGTCCTAGGTGCCAGAGGGAAGCCGGTGCCAGCAGCACGTGGCAGGAAGGCCTACTCTTGCACGAATTTCGTGCATCGTGCCTCTAGTGAAAATATATATGTATTTTAAAATGTGCAGGAGGTCCTAGCACCCTTCAAGCCAGTGCCCCCAAACAGGAAAACTGTAACTGCAAAGCATGATCAAACCTGACACTGGAATTTACGGGACTGACACGCACTCATCTGTGTGTGTGTGCATCGTCCTATGCATCTAGCCACCACCACCGTACAGCACCTGCCATCACAGCTCCCTTGAGCCCCTCTCTCCAGCTCCTTGGCAACCACGAATTTGTTCTCCATCTTCCTATTCTACTATTTAGAGAATATGATGCCAGTGGAGTCAGGAGGGCCTGTGAAAGTGGCTTTCTTAACCCAGCACAATTCTCTGGGGATGCAGCCAGGCTGTTCCTTGGACCAGCAGCCCCCCCCTTCCTGCTGAGCCGTCTCCTGGTCTGACCGCTGTTTAACCACGCGCCTGCTAAACAGCATCGGCGTTAGGTCCAACTTGGGGCTCTTAGGAATAAAGCTGTTAGGAACATGCACGTACAGGTTTCTGTGTAAACATAAGTCTCTTTTCTCTAGAATAAATGCCTAGCAGTGTAAATGCTGGGCCATATATTAACTGCAAGTTTATTTTTATGAATATCTGCCAAACTCTTTTTCAAAGTGGTCATCCTACTTCACATTCCCACCAGCAATCTCTCCTCATCCTCGTCGGCATTATCCTAACTTTGGAAACTAGAGACAAAAACGCAAGCTTTCTGTGTTCACGGGGCCACTGGACTAACTCAGGAGCCGTGCTGCTGACAACACTGACATCCACCTCCGCAAGGAGCCAGCACAGCAGAGCATCCGGGGCTACCTGCGTCGGCGTGATGATGGGCACCCCGCCCACAATGTCAGTTCTGTAGGACACCTGCTTCTTCCCACAGTCCCCCGGGCGGCTCGGGTTTTCAGAATGAGGCTGTGAGTCTGACTGCTTTGGTACCTAAAATAGGAAGGGAAAGGAATGATTTTACAACCAGCATTACAGATGACACCCTTTTGTCACAGAATTTCCAGCTTAGTCTATTTCCATAAAGCCAGCACAGGTAAGCATTGTTGATAGTATGGACTCTGTAGGGCTCATATGACCCTTTCTGTATAACAGCCACCACTGACAGAGCGCTCATGAGGGCAGGACTCTCGCCCACGTATCTTGTCTCACCGTCCAGCCAATCCTCTCCCGAGGGTGGGTTCCCGGCAGCCCCAGACAGGGCTCCAAGGCCCAGGGAGACACTCGCTTCCAGCTGAGTCAGTGGGACTGTCGCCCACACTCAGCCACCACACTGCACCTGCTCCCCTGAGCACGTAACGCCGTGTGCGGCCCTGTGCTGCCACCTCTTCCTCCCTCCATCCCCCCCAGGACCCTGCCACAGGGACGGTGGCGTATTCATCATCTCTGGCTTCAGGGCAGAGCTACTGCTGGAAAATCTGAGCATTCAATACATGTTTAAAGACTGGCTCAGTGGACCAATCTAAAAGCAGGAGAGAATAAAATACTTAAATTAAAAGTTAAAATGTTCCAAATAGCTTAAAACTTTTAGGAATTTCACTTTATTTTTATATGTTTTTATTGATTTTAGAGAGAGAGGAAGTGAAAGGGAGAAACATCAATGAGACAGAAACATTGACTGGCTGCCTCCTACACGCCCCCTACAGGGGATCGAGCCCACAACCCAGGCACGTGCCCTGACGGGAATCGAACTAGCGACCTCTTGGTGCATGGGTCGATGCTCAGCCACTGAGTCACACTGGCCGGGGAAAACTTCTTAGGAACTTTAAAAAGTCTTAAGGAATTCCAATAGCTGCATCAGTGATAAACCCACAAGAATAAGCAATGACTGTCAATATAGGAATTTCCTATGTGGCCGAGCACCTCACCAAAGGGGAAACAAAGGCATGGCAACTGCTTAACAACTTGCAGACCGACCACGAGGTAACTGAGCAGAGGCCCTGAGGCACGAACCGCCAGCGCGGTCGGCTCGGCGGGTGACCGGACCGTCTCTGAGGGACTCCAGCAGGCTGACAGGAAGAGGGGAAGAGGGGAAGCGGCCGCGAAGGCCTTTCGAGAGCACGTGCTGCTGAGCCGGTTAAGACGCCGTTTTCTGGAAGCGCACAAACGTGAAACAGCTTCTGCTTCTGCAGAGCAGACGCCGCGCGTGGGCGTCTGTCACGTGGTGGCAGCTGCCTGGCGAGAGGCCAAAGCCCGGGCCTTGCCTCTGAGAACGGCTGCCGTGTGTCAGCTCCGTCCTGAGTGGGACGTGAATATGCATCGAACGTATGCTGGCTTTCAGGGCAGTGTTTCTGGAGAACCCGCTGTCTGGGGTCAGTAAAACACCTGCCCTTCAGGAAAAACACAGGCCCCACAGGAAACCCTCCTTCCGTGCAGGCCTACTATGTGCTTCTCCGCCAGCGGGTCAGGAGAGAGGGGAGGGGGATCACCAGGGATCAGACCCCGCTTCCTCGCTGACCATCACCAGCCTGAGGACAGAGCAGGGCCAGGGCTGGGCTGCAGCGTGAGGCTCCTTCACAGCGTGTGGCTCACAGCTCCACTCACCAGCTAAGCAGCCTGTGAAAGTTACTCTACCCTTCCGTATTTCACTTCATTTATAAAATTGATCGGGGTGACACTGGTCAGCATGAGCATACTCAGGTAATAGCAGAACCTAGCGAGGGAACATTTTAAAAAATAAAAAAAAGGGGGAATTTGCCTGGAGCCGGTCCATCCTTGCTGTTTCAAGGGACCTGGCATATATGGCATACTGTTCTTAATATGTTTGCTCACCTTCTTGGCACTAGGTGTTTTAACCAAGGTCACCTCTCTGAGAAAGGTTGTTTCCCCAGGTAGGGATTTTCCCCTGAAGTTAGGGAGGGAATAAAACCCCTTAACTAAGTGCCAGGCGGGTAATTAATCACTTTAACTACGAACAATCGTGCTTAAGCTACATAATCTTTACTCCCTGGAATGGAGATAAGAAACGCCCTAACCTTTGGAATAGAGATTGATAGGATTGGAATCAACTGGTATAAATACAGATGTAACAAGACAACAGGACTCAGAACCTAGACACAGAACCTAGAGACAGAAGAACTTCGCTGGAGAGAACATGGCAAAAGATCCTGGACAGAAACTGGCAACAGAACCTAGAGACAGAACCTAGCGAGAGAACCTGGCTGAAGAACCTAGAGACAGAACCTGGCTACAGAACCTGGATAGAACATGGCAAGAGAACCTGACTAGAACCTGGTGACTGAACCTGGCTGGAGAACCTAGTGAGGGAACATGGACACAGAACCTGGCTGGAGATCCAAACCAGAACTTCGCTGGAGATCCTGACCAGAACTTGGCTGGAGATCCTGGCTAGAGATCCTGGCTAGGCTGCTGATAAACTGAACGCTGTCTCCGTGTCATTCCTTCTTCGCCGACTCCGTCCACACCTTTGGGGACCCCTGGACCTGCTGGGGTTGGACCCCAGCACAGGTGTGGGTCTGTGTGGCAGGATCTCTGTACTGTGCTGTGTGCCTCCTGTCACATCCTCTCCCATCACCTGAGGTACTGAACCCTCCCGAGTCTCGCGCCACCACATGCGTTAGGCAAGCCTCAGGGCAGGGCCGGGCGAGGCGATATCCCAGCAAGCTCATGTCCACAGAAGACCAAAAAGAGAAGCCGCTCGGAAGCGAAGCTGCGCACAGAACAGGGTGTGAGGTCGCCAGTGCTGGCCCGCAGGGGGAAGCGGGTGCGGCCAGCAGTTCAGAGCCCGAGAGACTCGCGAGGCCCGTGGGCACCCGCTGGCTGCCAGCGCTCTTCCGACCCGTCCCTACGCCGGTGCTCAGTCCCAAGCCCTTCACCACCCCTCCCCCACAGCAGCCCGCCAGGGGGGGACAGAATCCGACTCCGACTACCTGGGTGGTGGCAGGAAGACTCTTGCTCTGGGAGAGACCCCCCCACAGACCCTCCAGGCAGAACCTCCATGCATTTCCACAGAAACATCGCCACCAGCCGTGCTGAAGCCCACAGGGACGCGGACGGCTAAAGCAGCTTCCCGGGCTGGTCGAAGGGCACAGTCACCATGGACAGGAGATGCATTCACATCCCAAACCCCGACCCCTTCCATAAACTGGGAGGACAACCTACTGGCAATTCAGTTATTACCCAGGAGGTGTGTTTTCACAATGTACAATTACTCCCAGACATTAAAGCTTTAAAATACAAATACTTACTGTAATTTTTATAGCTTTGTTCAACACATTGACCCATTCTACTAGGTCCTGCTGATCATTGGCTTGTAGGAAATATTTCCTCATCCCTGCGTTCATAACTGTTGAGAGAAAAAATAAACTACAATACATGAAATTCTGCACTTGTTACCTCCGAGTTTATGTTTGTAGCAGATGAAACACCATGCTAGGTTCAATACTGTGACCACATGTAGCACTGCTATTATCACTCAATAACAAGGGTAAAATTCTTATTTTTAATGGCCACGTCTTTCATTAAACAAAAATACAATATATTCGACCCACCCCCTAATGATGGACATGTAGGCTATTCCAATTTTTGAAATTATATAAACTATCCCAATAAAACATGCATTTCATATACATACATTTCTCCTTAGGCTAGCGTTTCTATAGGATAAGTTTCTGAACGTAAACATGTTGGAGCAAAGGGAATTCGTATTAAAAATCCTTATAGATATTGGCAAGCTGTCTTCCCAAAAGGCTGACTCCCTTTACGTTCCCGCCAAGGGCACGCAGAGACCCTCCCACCGAAGGCTCCTCCCGGCCACTGCCCACCGGCGCCCGTGGGGAGGGCCCGCTCCCAGCTCCTCGGCTGGGCCACTGGCCGGGACCTGCACACGTTTCCTAGACGCCCTGTGGCTCAGGCGTGCTCCGCCCACAGGAGGCCCTGACGGGAGAGTGAGGAGACGGACGCCCCAGCAGCTGCAGCAGCACACAACCAGCTGGTCAGTTCCATGTCCACCTCCGGCTCCACGGTGGCCCCTCCGCCCAAGGCCCTGGGGACCCCGCCTCTCCCGGGATGTCTCCCCAGCCAGGGGGTGGCAGCTGCTCCACGCACTTTCCACTCCGTGGGTCACTCAAGCATCAGTGGAGATGAGAGCCTCCAAGGAGCTCTCACCAACGACATCGAACCCGCTCAGACCCTGCGTCTTACTGGAGGCACGTGACTGCGCCAGACGCTTTCCCTCACTGTGCCAGCACCACCTGCCTCTCCAGCAGGACAGAGGGCTTACCGCCAGCCCTGCCCCCGCATACCTTTACTCTCCTGTGGACAGCACCTCCTGATGACAGCTGCCACTCCTACTCAGACCCCTCCCATCACGGACACGCTGAGGGCACCAAGCTCCCAGCCCTCACCAGCGCCCACTGTTCCCACGGATCCCAGCGTCTCCACTCTCCACCTGCCAGCTCCGCCCGGCCCGGGCCGTCACCAGAACATTCCACTGTTGGTCTCCACCATTTCCCACTCCCCGACCTGATTGCTCTCCTGATTGCTCTCTGTGATCCTCACCTCTTTGCCTGAAGCAAAGCTACCCGACACCTCTCCCCCCACCCCACCTGTGCAGCCCCCAGACCCTGTACTCCCCTAACGTTTCTCACCCTTCCTCTCCCCGCTGTCGCCACCCTCATCCAGGCCCATCTGTAAGGGTAACAGTTTGAAAGCTACTTAACTCATCTATCAACATCAAAACTCTTATTCATACAAAAAAAAAATTAAAAAATCTACCTTTGCCTTATGCCTACTCTCCAGATGCTAATTTCTTACCTATCCTTTAAAAATAACCACTTGTCAACAATCTATCAGGCCCGACTCCTGCCCACATGCTCACCTCAGTCTCTCCCCTCCCTCCAGCTTCACAAGCGCTCCCCCCCTGCGCCCCGCCCCCCTGCGCCTGCCCAGGAAGTGCCCACCTCTTCTCCCCGTGGCAAAGGATGGTCAGGTGAGCGGCCACCACCCCAGGGCCCCCACAGTCAGTGTGACTCCCCTGGCTCCAGAGATGCCCAATGAGAACCTGAAGCTTTACAGGCCTTTCCTCTCCCTCCTGATGTCACAGACACAGGCACCAGGCGTGGGCCTGCCTGGGCGACAGCCTGCCTGGGCGGCTCCAAGGGCAGCAGCTGCTTCTCCTTACTCTGGCAGCCCTGGTGCCAAGCATAGCGGACACCTACCAGACATTCCTCAGTGCCCCATAACAAGGTCATCAGCTCCCCCCTGAGCCCACAGGGGGAGGGGGACTGGGCGAGACACCGGACAGCGGGAGAGCGGGCGGAGTGGGGAGAGCGGGGCTGGGGGGCGGGAGCAGCAGCTCTCCTTCCTCCCCGGAAGGTGGTCCTGGGGAACCTGCTAGGAACAAGTCGTCCGCCCCCAGGAGCGCTGCGCAGTTCGTCCGCCCCCAGGAGCGCCACGCAGTTCTGCGACTGCTCTCTTTACCAGAGGAGGCAGTGACACTAGTTTAACCTAAAACAGCGGCCATGGAAGCCCTGGCTACTCACCAAAACAGAACTCCGCCTTCGGCCTCAGCTTGGTTGCGTCGCTCACCTACAAGAAAGAGAGGAATCGCTCGCTGCTGCTGCTGCGCCCGTGGAGCCCACACACTGTGCCAGGCCAGCGCGCTTCCCTCCGCATCACCGCCAGCACAGAGATGGGAGGAAACTCTAGGGGAGCTGGAAGGACGCTGTTTACATGTGGCTGCGGGCTCCCCTCCTGAGCTGCTAACAAACGCCGCTTCCATGTTCTCCGTGAGCAAACTTTTCTCCCAAAGGAAATGTGAAGAATTGAAAGCAAACCTTTCAGTTTTATGTCACACATGTATTTACTTGTAGCATTTTCCAAAATACCTCTACAAAACGATGACTTCTTCCCAAAACTGTGTATTTCTAAATTAGCTGTGAACTCTAAGAGATGATGGTGGGAGAACGTATGCTAAGGAAGTCCGACAACCCAGCAGGCATGAATCTGCGACGAGGAAGTAAACACTGGCCTGGATCTTCTCTGGTACATGAGGGCAGCGGTCGCCAGCCGGTGGTCCGCGGGCACTGGTGGTCCGCGAGGTCCGAAAGGTTGGCGCCCGCTGCAGTGGAGCATCCGGGGGTCAGGGGCCTCATTGCTAATGCAGCACGGGCTCCTTTCGGAAGGTGAAGCCACCGGACGGCCCCCCTCGCTGCCATCCCTGCTGCTAACACAGCTGCTGGAAGCCCATCCACGCCTACAGCCTGCTGGGCCCAGTGTGGGGACCACACCTGCAGCACCTGTCCGACCTTCGAAGCCAGGACTCCAAGTGGTCTCAGCGAGAAAGTCACAGCTGAGTCACACGGCCATGTGTCCCAGGAGTCGGTTCTGGGAAGTGGCATGTCTACAGTGAGTACTGACTGCAGCACTCACACTCGCGTAAGCCGGGGACAGAGGTGAAAGTTAACTACACAGAGAAAGTGACGTTTTCAGAGGGAAGCAACGGAGAAAGGGGAAGCAGCTGGCCAGGCTGCCTGCTCGCTTAGTTAAGAGCTCATTTTCACAAAGAGCTCCCATCTTCCCACCTGAAACCAACACGAAGTTATACTGAATGGAAACTGTAATTGAAAACAATAAAAATGAAAAGAAAGCAATCCTTGATGAAAACCAAGTACAAATAAAGTGCCAATATAAAGAATGAATGAATCAATCAATCAATCAATAAATGCACACTTTACCTTGGAAAAAATTTTAGAAATAAAAAGAGCCCCCGTTTGTAAAAAGACCAGGCAATAAGCAACTGTAAAGACACAAGCAGACGGCAATGGCTCCCTCAGCTGCCGACTCCCGAAAAAGAGGCTTTTCCACCCGGCCTCACTGAGTGGAAGTGCTGGCGGCATTTACGCCACAGCGCACGCATGTGCACCACAGGCAACCAAGCCACTGGGGACCTACAACTCCCCGCACCATGGAATTCCATGCTTCCTGTTCACAGTCTGCTAGAATTTAAGCTGCCAGCTACCCTGAAGTATTTATTAAATGTCTTAATTTAAAAAGAGAAAAATATAATTTTAAAAAAGTCTGAATTTATAGGAAAACTTGAGGTAAACTTAAACAACATTTGTCTCATAAATTTACATTATATGGCCTTAACACAAAACAGTCCCCTTAAAATATGTCATCTTTATTGTCCACGGACTAATCCTTTTGTCAGAGAACGAACAGTTCTATTGTTATACTGACAGCAAAGTATTTTATTTATAAAAATACCTTCTAAACAGAGACACACTGGCCTCTTGTTGAAGACCTTGCTAACAAATCCCGACATAGGCAGAACAGTAGCGTATGCATATGCTTAGGCATATATGTTGCTACTTTTCACATCTCAGATCTTAAATCATCCACAAAAATATTACTTTGTGTAAAACACAAAAAGCCCACAGAATAGAAAATACCTGACATTATCAAATCAAAAATTTTAAAAAGAAAAATAGTATTACAAAAATGCCAGAAAAGCCCAGCTGGTGTGGCGCAGTGGTTAAGCACCGACCCAAGAACCAGCAGGTCACGGTTCGATTCCCTGTCAGGGCACATGGCCAGGTTGTGGGCTCGATCCCCAGTGTGGGGCGTGCAGGAAGCAGCCCATCAGTGATTCTCTCTCGTCAATGATGTTTCTCTCTCTCTCCCTTTTCCTCCCTCTCTGAAATAAGTATGTTTTTAAATGCCAGAGAAATCAACAAACAAGAAAACAGGAATTAGCAGAGAGAAAAGTGAAATGGGGGAGGGCGGGGGGGCGGAGAGAATCATTCTTTTATCCACCAGTGGGGTCCCTCGGCCTGGCCTGCAGGATGGGGGCAAAACGGCTCTCTGACACCCCCCGAGGGGTCCTGGATTGCGAGAAGGCGCAGGCCAGGCGGAAGGACCTCATCGATCGGGGAGAGGGAGGGATGCAGCCGGGGAGGAACGCGGGAGGGCTTCAGGGCGTGTCTGGCCCATCTCACTCACCCCCGATCGGCCGGACCCCAGCAGCAAGCTCACCTATGGGTTGGAGCACCTGCCCTCTGGTGGTCAGTGCACATCATAGCGAGCGGGTGAGCGGCCTTAGCAAATCATTAGCATATTACACTTTCATTGGTTGAACAGCCAACCGGACACTTAGCATATTAGGCTTCTATTATATAGAATGGTTCATATTTTCCTCAAAATAAAGCATAAAGAAAAAGTAAAGGTAATGGAAACAGTTTAAGTTAAATATAATAGACTTAGAAAAATGTTATCTGTTTCCTATAGAACCTAATTGCTAACTGATTTCTCCCCTTCTGATGTTCATTTACCTCATCACAGAAATGACTGTTAAAGTTTGCAATGTGTTACATCCTGTCAGTTAATTCCATATTCTTCCTAATTTTATCAAAGAACATGCTAAACATAGTATTCGGGTCCTATTTTCAGTACGATCTGAACCTGAACTTCATCATTAAATGACACAGAAAGGAAACTTTTCCTTTTATGCACACTCCATCCAAAGAGACTTCAATTCAAGCATAAATGTAACTAGTACAGAAAGATCACCTTTGAAATGTAGGTAAGTTTAATGGCTCCAACCCGTGATGATCCGGAAGGGAGGTTCTAGAAGAAATTATTAATACATAGTTAATATCCAACCTCATGACTTTGTTATAATTCTCTACACATTTAAAAAGTTAATACATTATGCCGGACCGGTTTGGCTCAGTGGATAAAGCGTCGGCCTGCGGACTCCGGGGTCCCAGGTTCGATTCCGGTCAGGGGCATATACCTTGGTTGCGGGCACGTCCCCACAGGGGGGCGTGCAGGAGGCAGCTGATTGATCTCTCTCGTCGATGTTTCTGGCTCTCTATCCCTCTCCCTTCTTCTCTGTGAAAAATCAATAAAATATATTTAAAATAAATAAATAAATAAATAAATAAAAGATTAAAAACACAAATAAGAAAAAATGAACTAAGGATCAAAAATTTAAAAAAAAAATAAATAAAAAATTAAAAGTTAATACATTAAAACTTTTAGTATCACATTTTATATATCAGCCTTTTCAGTTCAAGTACCTCCTAGGTCTGAAATCAATTTGTTATCCATTTTGACAACACGGATAAGAAACTAAGTCTACTCTATTCCACCTTAACAGATTCTGTAACTACAGAGCTGTTTTTGTCACCATAACTAAACTCTTCACGAGCGTGAAGACCCATCAACAAGCCCCAGCCAGTGTGGCTGCCGCTGAGCATCATGCGTGCACTGAAAGGCTGTCAGTTCGCTTCCTGGTCAGGCACATTCCCAGGTGGCAGACTCAATCCCCAGTAGGGGTGTGCAGGAGGTAGCCAACCTATACTTCTCTTTCATTGATGTTTCTCTCTCTCTCCCTCCCTTTCCCTTCCTCTCTGTCTCTAAAAATCAAGAACTTACTTTTTAAAGTACTTTTTCAAACTCTATAAACAAGATCAGATTTTGTTCCTGAAAGCACTGGGAAAAAATATTTAGAGTCATACAACCACTGCAAGGAACTTCAAAAGACTATACGTATTATTTTGTTCTATTAAAATTTTTAAATTAAGTGTATATATATATATTTTTTAAAAAGACTGAATTATCTCTTATTTTAAACTTTATCTGTATTGATACAATGTATTTTTGAAAATTTTAAATTATTAATTGATACTCTTTAAACCATGCCAGGGAATGTGCATATGATACTTTCACACAATAGTTTTATTCCTCCCCTAACAAGTTTGGAATGTGATTTATGTCTTGAAAGAGAGCGAATATCTTCTGGCCAAGGCTATCGGGAAAGACTCTGCAGGGAGAAATGACATTTGAAGGAAAATCTGAAACACAAGAGCAAGAGAGACTCTTCCAGGAGAGAACGGAGCCCCAGTGCGGACGGACACCCAGAAGCGCGGCCTGACAGGGACGGGGGCTGAAGGACAGGGGCCCTCGGGGCTGCAGAAAACGGGCCGGAGAGCCTGAGCGGAGAACCTTCCCAGCGGACCGAACCGAAGAGCAAAGGCCACGGAGTTCATACTGGCAAGAATTTGAAACCACTAAAGAAAGCGTGTGAGCAGTTCTGTGATCAAAACTGTGCTTTAATTAATACATCCTGCAAAATAATAAATCAGATCTACAGGTAAGAAAACCAGACAAAGGAAGCTGGAGAGAAATATATAAAAGACTGTTCGAATATTTCACTTGATTTTTAAAGTGTCCTTCACTGCAGATTAAGCAAGATCTCCTTTTTAATGGTCTTTATCATCATGGGCATTAAAGAGCCTCTGGGCTTGTTCTCAGGCGTGAGCAGGAAGTGCATTTCTCAGGCCTCTCACGCTCCCTGGGAAGCTAACTGCATGGGGGCTGCAACACCTCCCAGACCAGCTTCCCAGACATGAGCTTGGTGCTGCCGACAGGGATGGTCTTTTCTCAACTTTCACTCCCATGTCACGTAAAACTGCATCACGTTCTGCTTTAAACTGTATGCAATGGACAGGCTTCCAAATATGAACCACAAATAAATATGGACATAAAATTATAATTTTTAGTGTGTAACTTTAAGTGGCTGTGTTCTTATACAAAATGGTTTACATTTAGAGGGTTTTGTCTGATTGCTTTTTAAATTTGGGATAAGGGAATTAAGTGTTAAAATGTCGTCAGGCCCTCCTAATTACTACCAAGTGACTTTTTAAAAAATATGTTTTTATTGATTTCAGAGAGGAAGGGAGAGGGAGAGGGAGAGAGAGAAACATCAATGATGAGAGAGAACCATTGATCGACTGCCTCCTGCACACCCCCTACTGGGGATCAAGCCCACAACCCGGGCCTGTGTCCTTGACTGGATCAAACCCAGGACCCTTCAGTCCACAGGCCAACGCTCTATCCACTGCGCCAAACTGGTTAGGGCCAAAGTGACTTTTGTCAAACACTGCTACCTTCCCTTCAAAATCGATCATCATCTGTCAGTCCTCCACACGCCTCTCACCTAACCAATGGCGCAGCTCTCAGCCTGTGTGAGGAGGAGTGAGAAGCTATTGGGGCTGCATGAAGCGGGGTCACCGATTGGCACAGCACAAGGAAACAGAAGCAGCTGGGACGAGAGGCATGCGAAGCACCCAGCACCTATGGGCCGGCACGGCTGCTGCCAAGTTCAACGGGAAAAGCGTGGGTTTCAAAAGATGTTGCTGGACGATGAACAAGAGATGATAATGGACATGACATTTAAGATAAAAAGCAAAGTAAGCCATTTGTTCTAGGCGTTCCTGCAGGCTTTTTGCCAAAATACTCTTTCAGGTTTCTCCGAATTCCCTTCCTATACAGCTACTCCGTTACTGTATCCCCGCCACTATCCCGCCCTCCACAAAACAGGACGCCCCAGCTGATCCCTGAGAACATACTAGAATGGGTTGTTAAATCAATGCCTAGTGATAAAGAAAACAAAACAGAGGAAAAATGGCTCCCTAAGAACAGGTGAGCCAAATAATGTGCTTTCATTATGAGGGTTATGGTGGTCAGTATAACATGTTACTGCACTGTAGCCATAAGCAACTAGGTTGAATCATATGAAATTGCCATTTTAGTGCATGAAAATATTGGAGCATTGGCAACTTCATATGGTTCACTCTAATGTAACACTCTCAGCACATTGTACTAAAGTTTCATGAAAGATGTAAGTCTTTACTAATACATTTAAAAGTGACACAACGCTGGCACTGATGACTGATACGATGGTTGGCAGAACCAAGGCTGTGAAAGCTTCCCTTCAGCTGAAATGAAGAGATACATTTACTGAGAACTGAGTAAAAGGACAGGTTTAAAATTCTGCACTACATTTGGAAAAAAACAATGTGTTAACTACACCACAGAAATCTGGTGTTCATGTGAAAAAGACCTGGCTGAGTGCAAACTTGAACATGCACCCTCACTGTCTGTTCTCCGAGCACCGCCACCACCGCCGCCGCCACCACCGCCCCGCCTCTGGGCCAGAATCGTCTGTGGCTCCAGGTCAAGTTCCCATGTCACCGCCTCCAGGAAGGCTTCCCTCCCTCTGCTGGCTGTAGCCACAGCCCTCCGCTCCACGCCAAGTTTGCTTCCCTCCCTGTAATAAACATGCCTTACTCCGTGCCTATGGTCTTTCAGCTCCGTGCCAGGGGCAAGTACTGATAACGGGGGGGGGGGGGGGGGGGGGTTCTGAGGAGCAGAACCTGTGACAGATGAAGACTGAAAGCCATCCAGGACTTTGACATAAAGCCCAGGAGAAACGTCTGTGAGTCAGCCAGGTCCTGTGAGGAGACGAGTGGCACCACTCGCGGGGTGAGGAGGCCAGGCAGGGCCCCGGCACGCAGCCCTGAGAAGGTGCCAGGGGACTTCCAGGTGCTTCCACCCTGGCTGAGGAAAGGAGCTTGGGAGGGGCCTGTGCCACAGAAAAAGGCGGGGCCATAAAAGGGAGGAATCAGCTTCACGTTAAAGCAAAGGTAAGGATGGGCTTCTGTCTTGCTGCCCTGTCCTCCTGCCACTGCCTCTGGTCAGGTAAACACAGGTGTGACTCATGTGGCTGCACAGCCAGGTCACCACCACCCAGGACAGCTGGCTACACCCAGAGGTGAGGCGGTCAGCCTGGGGGTCAGTAAGCTCTTAAGAAGAGGAGAGAAAAGACAGTTCCGGCAAAAACAAGTCTCACCCACAGCCTGCGCTCCAGTATCATCAGAACGAAAGTACGAACTATCCTCCGAAGCCTGGCAGGCCGCGTGAGGACAAGGTCTGGACTTAACGGAGAGTCAAAGGGCAAAGGGAGGCTTAGTGGGGAGAAGACACAGGCACTGGATCATGGCTCACAGAACAAATGACAATGAAAGCCGCCTCAGACAGAACATGCACTTCTTAGCAAAATGCAGTCCAAACAACAGGAAGGTGAAGACCAGGGTAAATGGGTTTCTTGCATTAAGGAGGTTGAATTAATGCCAAGGCCCCTGACACTCAAATTCTGTATGCGCACAGACAAACGCATGAGCGTGTGCGCATGTGTCTCCCTGCGTCGGTGCAGCGCAGCGACCCTCCTCCGGGCTGCTCTGCTGGCTGCGGGCTCCTCGCCTGTACCAGAAGCCCGCCGACCAGAGCAGCTCACAAGTCTGCTAGGGGCTCATCTCTTGCTCTGCACACGCTTCCTAGCAACATGCATCCCAATTAACAAAGAGTCTCAGAGAAGATAAAAGATGGCTCAGCTGGTGATCACTAATCCAGGCCCCTCGTCTGCAGTTCACAACAGCTACGCCTCGTGACTCACAAGACACCAACAAAGTGGATTTCCACCGTGAACGGCACTGCACTAGCTGACGCTCCAGTTCTCACGCGACACGATGAAAGGCCTGCATCCGTGCACGAGTGTCAGTAGTTTGCGCAGCGTATTCCCAAAAGACAGTCTCCCCTTAGAGACAGCAGCTCACACCTAAAGCAGCGGTCGCCAACCCGTGGTCCGCGGACACTGGTGGTCCGTGAGGTCCGAAAAGTTGGCGACCGCTAACCGAAAGGATCTTAAGTTTCCTACCAGAGCTGGTGTCTCTCCCAGGGAGGAAAAGCACATGTGGTGCACACATTTTTATCAAATAAGTTTCGTTTCATCTTCTGAAATTCAAATAAGACAGCAGGCGCTGGGGGCAGGGCAGAGAGGACGTCCCAGTAGAAATAAATCCCAACATCATAGAATGTCAAACACTTTAGCAATGAAAACTCGGGCATGCTTTGGATTTTACAAACCTGTGGGTTATCCATGTACCATACAAAACTATCTTCTCTGGTGTCCAGTATGAAGTACCTTCGAAGAAATTTACCACTGTTTTCATTTTCTTCGATGTCTAGGAAACCACAAATGCGATTCTGACGATCCACATAAGGCATTTCTGGGCTTGAACATTACACTGTAAGACAAAAGCACCAGGGTGAGTATTTCTCCGTGGACTTGGAGGACAACGTGTGCTATGGGATGAGTTGTTCAACCCACTTCCAACAGCAGGTGGGGGCGGTCAAGGGGAACACATACAAAGCCTGAGCAGAAGTCCCTTTAAAATCAGGGAGTCTGAGTGGTTACCAAGGGCAACGGCTCACACTGATGAGGACGAAGGAGGCTATGCCCCTCACTTGAATAATGTACTTACTTTTCCCTAAACAAACCCAAGAGGACCCCAGAATCAGCTGCCCAAACTTCCATTCCTCACTTACAAATCAAGAGCGCCTACCTTCCAGACTGCTCCGGAGTATTTTAAATACACAAACAATAGTAGCTAACTTCCACTGCCACTTGCTGTACGCTAGGCTCTCGACTCTTTCCCATGCACTTTCTCATTTAATCCTCAGAATGACTCCGGGTGGCACCATTTTCCCATTTCAGACAAGAAACTCAACACTGAGGAGGGAAGCGACTTTCCAAGACGAGAGAACTAGTAGGAAACGGATCAAAACAGGACCCAGATCCTTGGACTCTGCAGCCTGTATTTAATCTCGACACCACCCCGTCTCTCCAAAACCTTTTCAACTCTTAAAACTAAAATGAACCAAAACAAAGCCAGCGACCATCACGAAGAGAGAGAAGCAGGCACTCTGCGCCTCCTGATGGAACGCACCATCAGCACTGAGGTGAACCTGCTGTCACCAAAAGAAGCTGTTCCCTGGACCTTCCACCAGGTCTCTAGATCCCCCTGTTCCAACTGCCGATCGACAGAAATACAGGCACAGAGGAACCCAATGACCGGGACAGAGCGATTCAATCACCAAGCCACCCTGGGAGAGACCAGGACAAAGGGCCCCGTTTCTTCAGCGAAACTATGTCGACAGGGGACGGAGGAGGGAGGCTGCAGACTGAAGGAGCCCTCGGAGACACAGCGCACCGTGGTCTCAAGTGCTGACGTTGTCACTGGACGGACTGACGTTAAAACCAGGACTTGGGTTAAAAACAGTGTTGACGGTCATTTTCTCTAGAAACGAGCGAGGGTTCCCTCCTGCTGTGCCTGGCGCCTGTGTACCCAGCACTCTCTCGGCAGCAGGATGGATTTATCTAACTGGCTCTTCGTTTACAGGCTCAAGGAAGGTTTAACTCAGTGAGAACTCCGTCAGGACGAACAGACTTGCACTACTTGATTTCAAGATCTGCAATAAAGCCACAGCAATAAAGACAGGGTAGGGCTGGTGAAGAGACAGCTCTACTAAATCAATAAAACAGAAGAGCACCCAGAAACAGAACCACTCCTACGCTGTCAACTGATTTTCAACAGAGATGCCAAGGCAGTTCCACGGGGGAAGGACGGTCTTCCCACGGATGGCGCTGAAAGGATCCGCTCTCCGTGTGGAAGGAAATGAGCTCGCAATGGGTCAGGGCTCGCACGTAAAGGCTGTAGCAGGAACGCTTCTAAGAAACACCCAGGAGCAAGTCTTCAGGGCCCCGTGTGGTAGCCAGACTCCTCCGATAATATGCGGGAACCTGGGCCAGGTAATGGTTAATATACTGGACTTAGTTAAAATTAAGAACTTCTCTTTGAAGGAAACCATTAAGAAATCGAAAGGAAAAGGAAGAAAAAATAAAGAAAGAAAGAAAGAAAGAAATCCAAAGACAAGACACAGATGGGAGAAAATAGTCAGTACACTTATATCAAATAACCGATATCCAAGAACAGGCAAAGAATTATTATAATTCAATAATAAGACAACCAACAAAATAGAAAAATGGGCAAAAAATATGAAGACAAGCCAACAAAGAAATCTATACATATGGTGAATAAGCACATTAATCAGGAAGGACTGCAAAGAAACACCGTAAGATGCCAGTACATACCTACTAGAATGGCTAAAACAAACCAAAAAAACCCTAAAGACAAACATAAAACCTGGCTATGCCAAATGCTGACAAGCACAAACAAATGAACACTCTCGCATACACTGATGTATAGGGGACGTGTACAGGGGACATGGAAGCAGCTCTCCCCCGGGGCAGGTCCCCTGGAGCCCTAGGCCAGGGGTCCCTCCTGCCAGGGCAGTGCTGCCCCGCCTGTCGCCGGGCTATTGAGAACACAGTCTTTTCTACCTTCACTGCTTCTCACTGTGATTTGTAGGATGTCCTTCCGCTCGCTCCCTCCTCAGACATCATGGGCAAACGATAGCTTTTCGACATGTACAGCCGTTAAAAGCTCCAGTTCCACCTATTTCAGTTTAAGCCTTCAGACTCCTATGCAGTATTAAGCTGTTCTCCTCCCTCACTGACCCCAGGGCTGGGCCACTTGCTGCAGGAAGCCCTTGGACAGGGCGGGGTGGTGGTGCGCCCTGGGATAGGGCCTTCTCGGCCCTCTTCTGGGATCTCTGGGATGGGGACTGGTCAGAAGCAGCAGTGCAAGGACAGCGTTTCTGACCTGGGAGTATTAAAGCTCTTTGGCCTGGTCATGCTGGCTCCGTGACTGAGCGCCGACCTATGAACCAGGTCATGGTTCGATTCCCAGTCAGGGCACATGCCTGGGTTGCGGTCTTGATCCCCAGTAGGGGGTATGCAGGAGGCAGCGATCAATGATTCTCATCAATGTTTCTCTCTCCCTCTCCCTTCCTCTCTGAAATCAATAAAATTATATTTAAAAAAATAAAGCTCTTAACAGTGGCAGCCAGGGTCCTCTGACGGGAGTCCACACGGGCCTTTGGTGGGACTGTCTAGGGAGAGCCCTTGCCCAGCGTCCCGGGCCTGACACTGCTGCCCGCGCTCCCCTCCCGGGCCCTGTCCCCTCTGTCCTCCCCGGCTCCTGGGGGTGCGTGGCCGAGGTGGGCTGGGGACATTTTCTTGTGCGGCCAGATTTTGTTCATACCAGCAAGATGGCCCCAGTCGGGTGCCTCCTGCAGTTTCCATGTAACCCACTGAAACGCACTTCCTTGTGACGCCAGACGGTGGCCTGCAGGTGCCCACATGGGGCCCCCTTCCTGGCCCCGCCTTTCTACGCAGGCTCCCCTTGTAGCCCTTCTCCCCCCGGGGAATGATGCTGCTCTTGGGTGTCCCCTGCCTGTTCGGGGTGAGTACCCCTCCGCTCCGTGCTCTCCCAGGAGACTCGGAGGACTTCTCAGTGCCTCCTCTGTCTGTCAGCTGCGTGTTTGGTGTGGGACGATGGTGAGGCGTTGGTCAGGGTGCTGGAGCCCCGAGGTCTGTGGGGGGTCCGTGTGGGCTCCCCAGAGGTTTGGTCCCGACGTCCATGCATGCTCAGCTGTGTGTCTGTCAGCAGTTTGGGGAGAATAAGGATGGTCTCACCCAACATCTAGTTAACACACAGCAGGGTCCTGAGGGTCTAACCAGGCCTCACTCTGCAGAACTTCTTTCCTTTCTTTTTCCTCTTCTGTCTCTGACTTCTGTTTTCATTTCTTGGTCTACTTCCTGGTTCCTGACTGAAGTATTAACTACGACTTTGTTAATTTATCACTAATTGTATTATCTAATCATATGTTAGAGCATAAGTAATGCTGAAGGATAAGTATTGGGGAGGTTTTAATCATGTAATTTTATCTATCCTTGCCTCATACTAACTTAACTAAAAATGACAGAAATCCAGTGAAATAGTGTCTGAACCTTTTTCCTTCGTCTAAACAAACCAGTCAGATAAGTCTGCTGAATGATTTCTTGTCTGGTAAGGAGGATGCACGTTTGTATTTGGAAAATTAAACATTCAGATTAGTTGCAGTAATTATGGGTTTCTTAATACTTCATTCAACAAAGTGTTACTGAGTGCCTTCCGTGTACCAGCAGCTGATTTAGGCATTAGAAAAGCAGTAGTAAACAGAAAAGCAAATCCCTGCTCTCCTGGAGCCTGAATTCCCAGCAGAGAAACAAACAGGTCAGTAAGTAAGGAATTACCCTTAAAGTCACCCCCTCCCCCCACCGGCTGAGCTCCCTCTACCTCCGGAGTCCCCCAGGCCCCTCAGACCCCAGCTGCCCAGGGCCGCCCGAGGCGCAGGTAACGAGGGCCAACCAGGGCCGGCTGAGGCTTGCGCTGCCAGCAGTGGCTGCAGCAGAGGTGTGATGGGGCGTCGCCTTCCCCTGATCACAGGGTTGCCTCCTGCCCCTGAGGGCTCCCAGACTGTGAGAGGGGGCAGGCCAGCCTGAGGGACCCCCCTCCAGTGCATGAATTTTCATGCACCGGGCCTCTAGTAACTTTATAAGAATCTGCCAAACTGTATTCCCATGTTGCTCTATCATTTTGCATTCCCACCTCAGTGCCCGTGGCCGTCCTTTCTTGGGAAGAGGGCCCGCGGAATCCAGAGCCCGGGCTCCATGGTCCCCCTCACCAAGTCTAAGCCACATAAAGGGGTACAACCACAACTGCTGGAGGGCACAGCTACCAGACTGATGCGGCAGATAAGGATACCTCGTAGGAAAAAATACTCAAGACTCACAGACTTACTCACATATTTAAGAAGATCCTAAATGACTGATTTTCTTTTACATTCAACAGAAATTCCAGCTCAGAAAAGCTTATGCTATAAAACCCCCCAAACACTCTCTTCCTGATCCAAGCACTGCGTCCAATCCAAAGGCTCACCAAATACACAGCAGGCGTGTTTGCGGAAATATCGTCCAGGAATCACAAGATCACCCAGTCTCATCACACGGAGCTACTAGGACAAGTATTACCTGGAGCTCAAAGGCTTAACGTCACTCATGAAGCATAACAGAGTCCTGTGGCTGGAACAACTATCAACAGGAATTCGGAGTTTTAAAAACGTCCCGTTTTTCATGTTCCTAAAATTAATGAAGCATTATAGAAAAGCATCTACAGCTACCAACGTACCTGCCTGAAGAATCTGCTTCTGATACTACAATTTCCAAATGTGTGTCCTTACAAATGGTCAAAAGGATTAAAACTCACTGTAATATCTACCTCCTACCGAAGTCACTGTATTG